AAAATGTACTTATCGAATTATGTGATATACTTAACAATGCTGAAAAAACAAAGCCAACTTGGTGGTCGCATAGAAATATAATCGTCAAACTTGTGTTAGTTATCCACAAGGACAGACTAATCCTATGTTCCAAAGAACTAACAAAGATTATAACTATTTAGACTTTACGTATTTTTTCTGTGGTTAACCTAACCTTACAAAAATAGATTATTTATATCCTCTAACTCTTATATGCATTGCATGACATTGAATATTAATGTGAGCTATTAACACAACACATACGAGTCATTTTAAGTGTAATAGACTGTACATTCACTAGTATATTTTATAGTCTCACAGTTGAAATATCATATCATTCTTTAATACTCCTGTATAGTTAGGAATATATTTCACTGTGAATACTAGTAACTGACTCAGTTGGTGTTCATTATCTTTGAAAAATGGACCACTTCAAGTTCTAATTGAAAGCAATAGGATAAAAACTTACCAAAATTTATGATGAGGTGGTTATCTTTCGTTAACACTAGGTGAAGACAACATGATATCGTTAGTTGACTGTGAATAAAAACTGTAATCAATTACTAAAGATTCCCTGGTTGTGTATTATGATCCTTAATATGAAATTTTAAGGTTATGGTCTCTATCCCCTTTTGGAGTATTTTATTTATTTATTTTATATATTTAAACACATATATATTGGTACAAAAGGGCACCAGGTACATATGCGCCACACAAAATAATGAAAGTAGGAAGAGAAGGGATGAAAAGATAAGGCGGACTGAAATGTACAACCAGAAGACTCTTTCAGTTAAGAAAGTTAGAACCATTCTTTATGTAGAAAGTAAAAGAAGGTTGCAGCAGGATCGCCACTGGCTTCTATTCTGAGCCATATCTGATAACGTCTCTAGCCACTGTGTTGCACCATCTCTCGGACCCCAACCAGGGAGTCGTGAAGGACCAACGGAAGCTAGCCCTTTGTAGCTCTCTTTCATGCCACGACACCATGTCATACACTGACCTCCTCTCCGCTTTTTCCAACCAGTCCCAGGGTCGGCAAATAATGCACGACGTGGAAGTCTCTGGGACGACATTCGTAAAACATGTCCAAGCCACCGAAGTCGGTGTTTCAAGATGGTGACACCAATTGAATTATCGTCTCTGCGCCAGAACACACGATGCCGAACCTCTGTATTACTAACATGGTGTTGCAACTGAATGTCAGCAATCCTTCGGAGACAACGATGATCAAACACAGAGAGACGTCTAACATCCTCAACTCGGAGAGGCCAGGTTTCACAAGCATAGAGCAAAACTGCTCTCACCGACGCGTTGTAGATCCGACCTTTTACAGCCAGACTAACATCACGAAGGCGCCAAAGATGGCCCAGATTGGCATAAGCCGCTTTGGCCTTCATTATACGTGCATCAATCTCATCACTCACGCCACCACCAGCACTTATATAGCTACCTAGATACACGAACTTCTCAACTACTTCGATCTCCTCGCCATCCAGGGTGAGTACAGGATGAGAATCCTGCCAGTCTTGTAGGAGTACTTTGCACTTGGAGGGTGCAAAGCACATGCCGTACCTGCGGACACTGATTGCCAACTGATTAAGTGCGGATTGCATGCCTTGGGCATTATCGCACAGTAAGACAATATCATCCGCACACTCAAGGTCGAGAAGTCGTTCTCCAGGCAACATATCCACACCGCCATTACTTACATCCATCAGAGCTGTTTCCAGGATGTCGTCGATGGCAAAGTTGAAGAGGAATAGTGAGATCGGGCAACCCTGTCTAACCCCACTGCTCGAATGGAACAAGGGAGAAAGGTGGTTGTATGCCCTCACTCTGCCTGAGGTGTTCGTATACAGGGCCTTTAAGATGTTAATGAACTTCTCAGGCACACCCTTCAAGATGTGATCAATGCATCCTCGACCAGAACGAAAACCAGCCTGCTCCTTGCGAGTCAGTCGTTCTCGGGTTTTAAACAACCTACGAAGAATGATAGAAGCCAATAGTTTGGACGCAATCGAAAGTAGACTTATCCCCCGATAGTTATTGCAGGAAAAACGTGAACCCTTTTCAAAGATAGGGACGACTATCGACTCATTCCATGATGTTGGAACACTTTCTTCCTCCCAAACCTCTGCAAACACCATAGTCAATTCCTTTGCCAGAAAGTTACCACCATCTTTAAAAAGAGTTGAAGGTAAGTCATCTGGGCCAGGTGATTTATAACGTTTCAAGAGTTGGAGTTCCTTGAGGACTTCCGCCTCGTTTGGTGGATCAGTCGTCACCGGCCATGGGGGGCAGGACAAGCTGGTTGATGTTGCCGGAGCAGCAGGCCAGTTGAACTGCCCTTCGAAAAATTCCGCCCATCGTCCAAGACGTCGACAGATGTTAGTGATTGGCATCCCGTCATCCTCGTAGATTGTTTCACTCACACCAGACTTCTTGCTGCCAGTGGCTCGGATGAGTTGGAAGAGCTTCCGGCAGTCACCAGATGCAGCTGCTGCTTCCATCTCATTAGCACGCTCCGAACACCAGGCTTCTCGGGCCTTACGCAAGCTTTTCACAATTTCATTGCGTGACAGTCTTCGTTTGTGGTCAAACTCACGGTCACCCGGAGTAGACCGACGGGCTTCCATCAGTTGTAAGGAGCCAGAAGAAACCCAGTGTTTGTAAGCGGGACGTTTCGCGAAGCCGCAAGCGGCTTTACTCGCCATTTTCATGGCGTCGCGAAGAAGCAACCAATGCTCATCTATACTTTTCGGTGGGATGGTAGCTAGCCTAGAGGCTAGCTCCGCTCGGTACTTACTTGCAACAGGAGTTGCAGCCAGTTTACTAATATCAATCCGTTGGTGGTGGTCGATCCTTCGGCCACTGAAAAGTAAGGTGAGATTGGCGCAGACCAGGGCATGATCAGACTCCAGATAGGTACTCCAAAAGGAGCGGCAGTCTTGTACACAACCACGCCAGCGGTAGCTGATCGCGATGTGATCAATCTGAGTCCAGGCTTGGGATGCAGAAGGAGGACGCCAGGTGGCACACCGGCGATGACTGTGCCGGAAGTTAGTGCTAGCCATAAACAGGTTGTGGTCTGTGCACAGTTGCAGCAAACAGTCCCCGTTATCTGTCCTGCGACCAACAAGTCCCCATCGGCCACCTAGACGACTCTCTTCTGTGCCTAGACGCCCGACCTGCGCATTCAAGTCTCCGGCTAGTACTACAATATCTGTCGAACGCGCTTTCTGGAGAAGAACTGTTAACTGATGGTAAAACTCATCCTTGATTGCATCCGGGCTGCAATCTGTCGGGGCATAGGCGGAGATGACGAAAAGACACCGTTTCTCACGCCGATTTCTTCTCACTTTGATGGAACTTTCTAATCTAACGACACATAACCGACTGTTAATGGGGATCCAATCGATTAGTGTTGCTCCAGCCCTAGCGCTTAGTGCAACACCAACGCCTGCAAGACCAGACGAAGATGCCACAGGGTCCCCGGATAAGCGCACGTGGAACAAGCACTTCGAGGCGACAGATGGAGAGCGGATTTGTAGTACTTCACTAGAGTCTTGAATACGGGTCTCGGATAGACAACAAAGGTCAACATTAAGACCTTCCAAAGACATAGCCAGCCCTATCTGTTGTCTGATATGCATTAGTGTGCGAACGTTGAAGGAAGCCAGCTTGAACGGAGTACGTGGTTTCAGAAAGACTGCTTCAGTATTCATTATCGGTGGAAGCATTCACTTTCAACCAGACAGTGACTGGAGATCGTTTAGATAGGACAGATTTTCCACCATGGGCGAGCTGCTGCATAAGTTGAAAAGTAACGTTACACAAATTGGGGATAAAAGGGGGTGAGTTAGCGATATGGTAAATAATAATAATAATAATAATAATAATAATAATAATAATAATAATAATAATAATAATAATAATAATAAAGGTAATAATAATAATAATGTAAATTGTCTTGCTTCTAGTATGAGCAGGAATAGTATCATCAATAGAATTCATCATTTCATTTATTTGTGAGAGGGCTGTGATACTGCCCGGGTGCCCAAACCGAAGCAGGTGGTTTTCTTAGGGAGCCACACCCGGAGCCTTTGACCAAAAGGTCTGATCCACAAGGCAGTGGAGCATCGTGAGGAGATGCAGTCCCATGGTAGCCGTTGACCAATGACAGGCTCCTACGCCATTCGTTCCATCAGGATACTGGAGCCCATGTGCACCATTGGTTTGGAATCAGGGTTTCCCAGCTCCCCTAGGTGGACTCTCCGTGTCCACCAACCCGGTTAAAGCGCCGGACATTAGCTTTTCGTCCTCTCACTTTCGTAAACAACACCCCCGCCACGAGAAGGCAGTGAGTAGGACTTCCCTGGCAGAGGCTATATATTCGCTGGCCATGTGAGAGCATTTCGAGAGGAAAAGTAGACTCTCCCCACTCTCGGCCGTACCAGGGCATTTGGGGGCCCTTTTGGAGTTATTGATGCACACAGCTTAGGAGTCCTAAACTAAGCTAATTTGTGTATAAGGTTCCTTAATGTTCAATTGTCATTCAACTAATTTTCGTAGAAATTGATGAATTTTGATAAACACTTGGAAAGTAGCTAAACGACAGATAGAGCGAACAAAAATGAAAGGGATTTCTTTCCTATACCTTTATCATCTTAGAACCTAACTGCTAACCTCCTTAGTGCATCATTTCAACCTTGATTACTTAGTAAAATTTTATACATTGATTTCTGTAAGGTTTTAATTTCTTTGAGGTAGGCCTAACTAAAAAACAATCCTCTAGTATTCTATTTGCCAGCTCTCTCTCTCTCTCTTTGATATGATAAAATAGTCAGAGTAGGTAATGAGTTTGATCACTTGAAATCACTATGTTTTGCTTAATACGGTTTGTTTTAATCTAAGATGAAAAATATTCAGTCACAGGTTGATAGATGTCATAAACAAACATGTAAAGTTTATCAATTACTTACTTCATAAATGACAGTTCCGACTGATGTATTTTCAGCTACACTGATATTATATACAGTGAATGAAAATCTGGGTTCGTTGTCATTCATATCTGCTACTTCAATATCAATTTCCAGACGAGATTCACGTGAAATTGCTTGACCATTCAATTTGTTCTTTGAATCAATAACATTCGGACTGTAAGCAACTAAGACAAACCTATGTCTCGTTTCCATTTCTGCATCCAAATCTTCAGTCAATATTAAGCCAGGTTGGCCTGAATTACTTATTTCCAGTTTAAAAGGACTTTTGAAAGGAATGATTGAACTGGATCCATCATTATGCCATGATTCAAGTCGATAATTTATTCTACTATGTTCAGCAAGTATATCAATATCTCTAGCTTTTGGTAGATCAATTCTCCTACCGGCTCGATAAAGTGCCTCTTTCAAACGTTTATGCCACCTAATTTGATCAAACTTTGGCCCATTGTCATTAAGATCATGTATACGAACAACAATATGATGAACTGCTCGAAGACTTCCATCGATGTGTACAGCATTCACATCAAAATGAACCGTCAAATCACCAGAACTATTACATTTGATATGATCCACTACTGGTATAGGTTTACTACGATTATTCTTAGATGTACCAGATTCCAACACTGTATTTGTTTAGCAGAATACAAAGAAAATCAGAATAAACAAAACTTATTAGATGAATCGATATACAGTGGTTAGAAATTTTGCTCATTCAGAGTAAATTACTGTTTATACTTATCTGTGTATATTGAACTAACTTCATTATGTACTGTTTACTATCAGTGATATCAATTTCTAGGTATTTTTTATCATCAATACAATGTACTAATATTCACTGATTCAAGTTTATATTGTTTAAGTCACAGTGTTCATGACATGAATCAAAAGGGGATTTGTGGAGATTTCAGTATGTCCATAGTTGAAATCATGAGTCAGTTGAAGCTAGATCACCATGGAAAACCTGGAAGAACTGGATAGTTGTTTCGTCCCATTACGGGACTCCTCAGCAGTGCGCATCCCCGATCCCGCACTCGCGAGATTCGATATGACACAAATATTTTACTAACTTAAAAGTGTACATCTTAGTCAATATAAAATCCTGTTAGCTTTAAAGTAACTAATTACAGCACTTCTTATCTATTACACTAAACTAAAAACGATCAATGATAAATGAAATTGTAAAGTTAATGGATAAATAAATTAATAAATAGATATTTTCTTATAGGGAAAATACATTTCTATATACTATGCTAAATATTACTTTTTATGTAAACAAATAAAACACACACACATATGCCAAAGGGGAAAAAAGGAATAGAGAGTTTAAAAAAAAAGAAAACGAATCTGAAAATGAACAAAATTATCACTAACTTAGTCATAATGTAATTTAGAGAGGGCTAGATAACAGTTGTTTTATTGACTAATACTTCTTCTAAGCTTTATTTATAAATTGTATTATATTCATATGAGATTACAAAAATATGCAAAATATTTCTACAATATGTATATATTTGAATAGTTTATTACAATCTTAAAACTGTTTATTATGATTGAGAAATAAATGTGTTGAATTGGAAAAGAAACATTAACTAAGCAACATGGTTCATACTATTGAACATAAACATCAATACTCCCCAATTCTTCAAACAAAGATAATTCCTGATTCAAATGTTAGTATTAACACAATTACTACTATTGTTATTATCACTGGTGCTAATAATAATAATAATAATAATAATAATAATAATAATAATAATAATGACAAAATAAGAAATGTTTAAACGATTACATAATATCAGAAGGGATTTTGTGGAGATTTTAGTAATTTAAATAGTTGAGGTCATGAATCAATTGAAGCTAGAGCACCACGGAAAATCTGGAAGCTGTGATCAGTAGAATTCAACTGGGTTTATTGTGAGATAGTCACTCATTGAAGACAATGGTGGATATGTGGCTCAATTTCATGTATTGGTTGAAGTTAGACATTAACACAGTTGGATGCCGGTTCAGTGGTCTAAAGGTTAAGCGTTCACGCGCGAGGCCGATATGTCCTGTGGTCGAATCTCGCGATGCGGGATCGTGGATGCGCACTGTTGAGGAGTCATACTACTTGACGAAGCGGCCGTGCAGTGCTTCCAGGTTTTTCATGGTGTTTTAGCTTCAATTAACTCATGATCTCAACTATTAAGATTACATAATATTTGATCATTTATATTGACATATTAAGTAAAAAAACAAAAAGGAGAAGAATGTTCATAAAATTTATTTATTTTGTAATGAAATACTACACTATAGAAATAATTGTCCAAAAGATAAGTGATTATGAAAACTTATATCTAGATACTAAATTATATACAGCGTGGAATGATGAAAACTAATTAATGTATGATTTTTAACAAATACATACAATTAAAAAAGTGAAATTCCATGTTCCGATTGGGTTATCACTATCAATTTATAAAAATTCAATAAAATACTGATCCGCTTATATCAGTCATATAGGTTTGTAATATTTGCTCAGATTAAAACAAATACAACACGATTTCATAGTGGGTTTAAATTTCCATACATAGAGAGTTGAGTCTGATTAATCCCATATAAAATTTCTTCACACAACTAGTTTCTGATAAAATTTGAGAATGAAAGTAAAAAAAGCGAACTCTATCGCTATCCACTATCTAAGATGAGTGTTTTGTTAGTATTGCAATGAAAACAGTATGCACTGATTTCATGTACATACCTTACTTCATCAACTTAAAGAACAGGACAATCTATTACGAAATTAAGTGATTCAATTGAAGGCCTGAACATAAAGTACAGAATAGCTAATATACCATTCCCTGAAATGAAGACATATGTTGACAAGCATAGCAACGCTGTGTCATGAAAACTGCATTAAAGATTAGTACTATACAGTGCTAAATTGTATTTTACTGATTAAATCGAATGAAATGACATGAGGATCTCAAATAAAAGATCTGACTTTAGTTATATTTATTAGACTTGTATATCAACAGTGTATGGATTTGTAAGAATTGAAATAATGAGTGTTGATGACTTCGCATAAGTTACATTCATAAGCAACCACAAACTCTCAATCCTGTTGAAACTTTAGAACTAGGAATTCTTGTTAATGTTTACATACGAAACAGGTTCAGAAAAAATTCTGTAAAATAACTTAGAATAGAAGTAATAAAACTACAGTAATTTAATTAGCTCCTATCATTAGATGAATGATATTTAATTTAAGTTTACCAAAATCACTTTTTAAAAATGGTGGGAATGTAGAGTAGTGCCATCAATCTACAAACAGCAGCACAGAATTACTACTGTTACCAATGGTGAACACACGAAATGCATACTCGTTTAGGTATGCTAAGAACAGAGATTAGACATAATTGTATTCATTGTATTAGGAAAATATTTTTAACGATGAAGTGAATTACCTCCATTATAGTTTATATTCTATCTAAAGTTACTTGAACAGAGGAGCATAATAAAATATCACAATAAGTAATTGAATGACTAGTTTCAAATTCAACATTTGACTCATAAAATTTTAACTTTATCGCAAAACCTTTAATAAAATTTGGTATTATTATAGCGAACAGAATGTGTTGTAAAAGTTCTTCAAGTTTCAGCTCTATACACCAGAAATGTCTTGACGTTATGTTAGAAATTCTGAATTAGGTTTTGGCTAACAGTTCTCACTTGGAATGCATATGTCAGCAATCCTCTATGCACCACTTTTCAGTGTAGTCCCTCATATGAATTCCATGTGATGCTGACGATGATCTCAGTTACTCACTCCATAGTGTCGAAGCAGACTACATAAGGTTTTCCTACACAGATTGACAAATGTTTTCTCATACTCAAAGGAGTTGATGTGCAGTGACAAGTTCAATTCAATAATGATCCATAGTGTCGTCGTTCGGTCTGTACACGACTGGTCTTTACGGAACCCACCTTGTTGATCTCGAAGTCGAGCGTTAAATGAGTCTTTCATCCGGTTCAGCAACATTCTGTTGAAAACTTTTCCTGGTACTTTTAGTAGTGTAATGCTCTGTAGTTCTCACACTTAATGAGGTCTTCTTTCTTTGAAATCTTGATGGGATATTCTTCTTTCCAGTTGGTCGGCAATTGTTCTTCCTCCCAAATCTTCCTGAACTGAATGCGGAGCATTTTCGCAGTGGCTTCTGTATCTGCCTTGAACGCTTCAGATGGTATATTGTCAGGTCCTACTGCTTCCTCATCCTTGATTTGTATTTGTGGTCGGATTGCAAGCTCGGTAAGGGGTCTGAGTGGATTTAAGGTTAGATACATCGACCATTACCTTTGGTCAAAAAGTTAACATTTCCCCTTCATAATCAAATATGGTGAAATAATTTTGTAAACGCGAAAAGTGCAGATCTACTCGACTGTTTAAATATGTTTACAAACATTTTACCTAATAGCGTTCTAAAACTTCAACAAATAGTATAATTAATAACAACTTAATGTCTTTAGATGTTTACCAGAATAATAACTAATTATTACAGTTTTCAAGTTTGTTTAAATAGTTAGAAAGTTGTGTTTATTTACATTGGAACTATAGTTTACACTGACCATACAGTAAATTTGTATTTTGCTTGATTTTAAGATGAAATTAAATGATATTAGATTTCGTGAAATATCATGATGATCAATTTTTCACTAGTTGGCTAATTATTTCGTATTTCGCAAAGGTACTGGTTTCTTCACTAATATCAAGCTTTTACACCTTCCATCTTAAAATAATGGTAACTGGTATATTTGGAAATACTCTTGTTGCAATATTTGTGTTGTGTATTTGAAAAACAGTCCAAACAATGATGAATGGTACACAATTCAAAATTTCTGTTCCTTAAATAATGTTCATGTTACTTTTAAATAACATGATCAAATATATAATCAATATATTTATTCTTTTCTATTAAACTTTTGTTTAAAACCAATTTACGGTTATTTGCTTCCAATTGTTATCTAGTTAAGTACGGTAGTGAGTTAGTATTCCCTTTAGGTAGTATGAAATCAGTTTGAGTTTTAATTCTAAGCTTCTGTTTTGTTTTACCGAATAAGGTATTTATCAGGTATTAAGTTCAGGTATCTAATCGTTGACAAATTAGTTAACACCGGATAATTGCTTCTTCCGAGTTTATGATTTGTCAACAATTCGCACCTATAAACTTTTAATGAGATCGAAATCAGGAATTTCCAGCTCAACCATAGACATGTTATTTTTGAACCACAACCTCAAATCGAATGATCGACACACCTAAATTCTTTCAGTTTGCTATTATCAAGTTGTGGAACCTTTACACTTCGGTTATAACATTGTCCATTACTGCCAAATTCTTTTTTCTATTCTTTACAGATAAACTTCTATCTATTTGTAGAACCATTGAGGTAGTATTCTCTTGAAGTTATTCTTTACGCTATTTTTATTCATGCACCAATCAATGTGAAGCCGTAGAATTATAATTATAACATGAATTAATTAAATTCATGAAATCTATAAGAGGTCAAAGGTGACATGATTTACACTATACTAGAGGAAACTCATAATGAGGGTGGGGAGTCCACAATGTACAACTGACCTTAAATC